TTTAAAAACAGGTAAATTTAGTAAAGTACTGGTGAGGAATACATTATAGGTGGTAAAGCTAACGAAAAGCAAGAGAATAAGACCAAATACAGAATAAGCAGCTGCCTGGGGAAGGGGGATCATAGGAAGTCTTATTTCTTTGGCCAAGTGGTGAGTACATGAGTGTTTATGTTATTCATGTTTTATATATTTTGTACATATAAGACATTTCAAAATTCAAAAAATACTAAGCCAAGACAAAAGAATTACCCATTCCTTTCCAAAAAATGAAAAGTAAAATTGACATAAACAAGAAAACCCCAAACCAATACAAAGCCTTACTATTAAAAAAATTAAACTACAAATGGATGAAACATATGAAAAGAAGTTTAATCTCACTAGTAATCAAATGCAATGCAAACTAAAATGGAACTATCAGTTAAGAAATGATGAAACTAAATGTGGGTAAGACAGTGGTGAAACTAACACGTTTTTTACCAGCTGGTGGGAATGAATCTTGGTGCAATTTCTAGAGAGGAAAGTGAAGTGTCTTAAAAATACACTATTAAAGCGAGTAATTCTACTTTTAGACATGGGTCTTAAGTAAATAATCTGAACTACTGTTCCAAAAAATTGTATGAACAAAAAACTGGCATGTAAATGTCCAAAAACATAAGATCAAGAATAAGAAAATTATCTTTAATTTATAGAACTGAATATTAATGGCCATCTGAAGCGTTGCTTTCTTCATAAATATGGGGAAATAAGATCATGTCAGTAAAAAAATGCAACAAAAATTACATTTAGAATGGTTTTTAACGATGTTTAAATGTACAGAAGAGAGGAAAGAACGCATCCACTATTAGCAGGGCTCTCTCTGGATGATTACCTTATGGGGGATTCCTCAGACGTTTTAGGTAGTACCAAATTCATTTAAATGGATTCATTTGCTTGTGAAGTCAGAAAACAAACCTAAAATGAATAAGCCCCCAACCGCCTGACTAGGTAGGTCTCCAAACTCACTAAAGCCCAAACACACCGCTTAGGTGCCCAAGGCTCTCTAACACTACGGTGCCTGCCAGTGCCCTTATAGCCACGTGTGCCTACCCTCCCAGGGCTCCTCAAAGTGGCCTTCCTCTGGCTTCCCAAACATGTCCCCATCCCCTCACTTGAGCTTCTTAGCTCACTCTATCGGACCCGTCCGGGCTGAGTGCCACCATCTTCCAAAGTCCATGAGAAACACCACTTTTTCTGTGGAAATTTTTTTTAGCTCTGCTAACTCAGCCACCCCAACCAGATGTGATTTTTCCTTGTGTTTGACTCTTACAGAAAGGGTTGTGGCACTCTTCCTACAATTTGTCTTTAACATTTAGCTCTGTTTTAACGCCCCTACTAGATTCCAGTAGCGCAGGAAGGGGTTTTACCCTTCTTCAGCTCTTTCTCTGATATCGACACACTGTTTCACAAGTAAGCACATATTGAGTATTTGAGGAAGTGAATAAATTATTGTCACAGGGATTAGTCTCTCACTTTGGCCACAAGAAGAAGGAACAGAGAACAGGAAATGTTACTTATTTGAGACTCAGCATGGAATTTCTCACAGAAAAAATGAGGGAAAAAAAGGATCATTAATAATGAATAAAACAATGACTGACTTGTATTGTTTTCTTTTTGCCAGCTACAAATCTATCCACAATTGGTAACTTAATTTCTATGTTAACAAAAATGTCCTTGGAATTCCCAGGAATCTACCTCCCAAGAGTTTCTGGAGCACAGCCAATGCTGAAATGGATACACTTGCAGATAATATTTTCCTTTAGAAAAACATCTAGTTTGCTTAAATCTGCCTTAAGCCTCTTCTGAAACAACAGAAAGGGTGAAATGAAAGAGAAAAAAGGAAAGTGGATGTTCTAAACACCTAAGTTAACTTCTAAAAAGTAAACTTGAAAAGGAGAACACAGGCAAATCAAAACCCGTTTTTAATCACTTTCCTATGCTACCTTAACTTGATGCTGTATTTCGGGAAACAGCTGAAACTTTAAGAAAGTCTTAAAAGGTTTTTATTTTCCCTTTCCACGCAAGTTTTTATATTAAAATTTTTTTGATTTTATTTTTAGAGAGGGGGGGAGGGTGGGAGAAAGAGAGGAAGAGAAACATCAATTGGCTGCCACCTGCACACCCCAACCGGGCACCTGGCCCACAACCCAGGCATGTGTCTTGACCAGGAATTGAACCTGCGACCACTTGGTTTGCAGGCTGAAGCTCAATCCACTGAGCCTCACCAGCCAGGGTGCAAGTCTTGAAATTAATTAAATTAATATTTACAAAGGCTGTGCAGATAACCCACCCATGTGCATTCACACATACCCGAATACGTATATTTAAGGACAAAACCCTATATTTAATGCCATACAGGGCTTTACTTAGAAATAACACTGTCCTTATCAGACATATTGTGAGGGCTGCTCTTTGCCAGATTTTGGTGTGGGGGTGGGAGTAGATTGTTAGGAAAGCTCTTAATAATGACTTTGACTAATTTCCATATATACACACACACAGACACACACACACACACATATATATTTAAGCATTGCTATGGTCATTCATTCAATGAGTATGTATTGAGAAATGTGCTCGGTATACAGATGTGAGTCTGACCTTGCCCTCAGTGTCCACAGGTTGCCCCTGACTATACACAGTGTACTGGAGAGAATGAACAATAAGAAGGTAAACAAATGAATGAGATAATTACAGGTTACAGTAAGACCTGCAAAGGAGACAAAATAAACAAGACAGGGAGGTTATTTAATAACCTCTCAAAGGCCTCATCAAAGGCCTCTCAGATACAATTAAACCAAGATGGAAAAGAAAAGAAGGACCTAGCCATGTACACAGTACCGAGGCAAGAGCCTTCCAGGCATAGAGAAATGGAAAGGTCTCCAGATGGAAACAGACTCAGTTTGTTTGAACAACATAAGAGAGGCAATGTGGCTGGTCATGTTTTTCAAACACTGGATTATGTTTGTAGGTTGTGATAACAATTTTGTGGGTCACTGCATCAGGGAGTCATAGGTTTTCAGAGTAAGTATTCTTTAATAAACTTTTGCTTCAGTTTTGTGTGTGCACAGGTAGTGGACTGCAATGTACAGTACACTTCCCACTGCAGGCAGTGGCGAAATCTGTACTAAGCAAAGGGAGCAGGAGCAGAGGGGGACGGAGGGGCGGGTGAGAACTAGGGCACACATGGCCTTACACTGCAAGCTACCACAAAGAACAGGGATTTTTATTCTAAACAAAGTAGGAAGGTACTGAAGGGTTTCAAGCTGGGGAGTGACATGATCTAATTGGACAGGATGGTGTGGCCAAAAGATTACTATAGTGAAGTTCAGAAGACCTGTGCACCAGCCCTGGCCCAGACACTAACACTAGAGATTTTTTTTTTGTTGTTTACTTTAGATAGGAAGGGGTGGGAGGGGGAGAGGAAGAGGAGGGAGAGGGAGAGGGAGAGGGAGAAAGAGAAATACTGCCATGAGAGAAACAGCAGGGGTTGCCTCCCGTATGCTCCCCAACTGTGACCTGGGGACTGAACCTGCAGCCTTTTGGTGGACTGAACGGCGCTCCAACCAATTGAACTGCCTGGCCAGGACCACACTAGAGATTCTGGGAAAATCAGTCTCTCTAACTTGACTTTCTTCATTTTAAAAATACGAAGTTTGGAGGAAGATGACCTTTGAGATCTTGTCTACTGCTACATTTCTGTGGCTATATTCTGCTTCCTCTCTTGTAAATGACTACTGGGGAGACACAAGTTCATTTAGGTAGAGTTCTGGGTTACTTCTTAAAACATTATAAACCATGTACTATACACATTTTCTAGAGAACAAAATTTCAGAATTAGTTTTTTTACCGGAACCAGCTGTATTATTAGAAATGAGATCTCTGGACTAAAAAGGAATCAAGTGCTTTTGCAACCCTCTGGTGCAAAGTCTAGGACGTGAAGAAAATTGACAGGGAGGGATGAAAAGATTTACTGACCAGTTTGGGTTTTTTGGGGGCACAGATTTCCTCATTTGTTCTAGGTCATCAGCTAACATAATCTAGGGCAGTGTAAACTTTCTGGCAACCTCTATCTACTTAGCAGTAAAGTCAAGATGTGAAAACTTAGCTCCTTTCATAGTAAACAAAATGACTATTTAATTGAAATATTCATTGAGGGACTTCTATATGCTAACCTCACGCTAGACTGTTTGATACATGCTTTTTCATTTAATCCTCCTAACCTAGGTATTTGCATTTCACAGCAATGGGAAGAGAAAAAGACAATTAAGCTATCAATGTCAGGATTAGCATTATAATTTATATTACATTTATAATTATCCTGCATGTTTTAAAAAATTACAAGGATTAAATCATCAATTACACATCGGACAACTCAAGTATCAGTGACATCTGGACACAGAATGTTGAAGCAGTAAATCAATTCTGGACTCTCAGGCAGGTACCTTGCTAGGCGCAGTGTGAGATGAAAAGATGAAAACTTGTTCCAGCACTGGAGGGCCCACTCCGTGGGTATCATGCTGGGTTGTATGATGTGGAATTAGGCAAAATATCCAAGGAATTCGCATCCCCAGTTAAGTACACGTGAATAGTAGTATGGCACCTTCTAGGTTCAGTCTTGCGATTGCTGCTGGTGAAATGTCAGCAGAGGAACCATGGACTGGCCAGTGTCACCAGTGCTGTGGGCCTGGAAAGTGTCCTGCAAGTTTCATAAACTCCAGATGCTAGAAACACTGATTTCCAACTTATATGAATCCTTTAGCAAGCAAAGGACGCATCACCTGCCGAATTGGAGCAGTGTGCATGCCATGTTACAGAGAGGAAAACCTTGGAAACGTGCAGGGCACTGTCCCTGTAAGGGTCGAAGTTGTCCCTAATTCTTCCCAGAGATGCCACCAAATACTCCAGCAAAGTTGGGGTCGGTCATTGCACACCTGCCTGAATGCCAAGAATGCGGTACCCACCTGTCACATACTCGGCTTCGAACCTCCGTCGGGTCTCAGAGATGAGCTTGGCTTTATTCTGGGCATGACACTGGAAGGGAGAAAACAGACGCTTAGATAGCAAGCGCACCATCCCGCTTCTCTGCTCAGTCCACCTGCACCTGGGAACGCCCCCTCCTCCCCCCCCCGCCCCCCGCCTCAGAGGAGGATTCCGGGTCCAAGGAGAGGGCTGCCGGCGCTGCGGTGCGATCAGCTTCTCACCTCGGCCATGGTCGCGGACGTAGACGTGATGGCAGTCACCGTCCCCACTTCCAAGGCTGCTGTCCCAATATATCCTCATCGGCCAGGCCAGCCCCGCGGTAGAGAGGGAAGGGTGGGAGGTGGAGGCGGTCGCGTGACACCGGAAGGCGGGCGGAGGTGTAGCCAATCTGGCCAATAAAATACAGCCGCCTGAGACTGGGGGCGGGACCAAACCCCTGGCCTGGCTTACCATTCGCTTCTTGTTCTTGCCCCGCCCTTGCGTCCCCTGCACTGCGGGTCCACCCCCGCCAGCCTCGGATAGAAGGCGCTTCCCCCGCGGAACTCCGCCCTAGCAAGCTCCGCCTGCCATTCGCTTTCACCAGTTCCCCGGAGGACCCGCCTCCTGTGCCTAGGTCGGCAGCTACTCCGCCTGCCTGGCCGGCTCCACCTACTCAGAGTTTGATGCGGACTCCGGCCCAGCCCTCCCAGGATGCAGCGCGCGGGCGGGAGGTTTGGAGCCTCGGGGACCTGGCAACCACAGCATGCGGGACGCAGCGCGCTAAGGTAGGGTCCGCGTGGGTTCCCTTACCCAACCTTCCCGGAAGGGGCGGCAGGACCGGGTTGCTTCCTTGTCCCGGCGTTGCAGGAGAGCGGGTAAGAAGTGGCCGTCCCGGGGCCTGTGTCCATCATGCTATATGGATGTGCATCATCCTGTGGAATGATAACTAGATCTTAAGTGCTTGCTATATTCGGGGATATTTCACTTGGAACTTTCTTCACCCCTGCAACATCTTATCCACTTGGAATGTGAGATACTTAACAAGGAATATATCTCTGAAGTCTTTAAACTCGAACAGTTATATAAAGTTAAGAGATGCAAATTTTAGTTTATTAAGCTTGTTCTCAAAGCGCGAGGGTAGTGGTGGTGGTAGTAGAATTTTGCCTCCCAGGAGGTATTTGGAAGTGTCTCCTACTGGCATCTGGTGGGTAGAAGCCAAGGTTACTGCTAAATCCTACAACGCAGAGGTCAGCCTCAACAAGTTAGCCAGCGCAAAATGTCAGTAAGTGCCAAAGTTGAGAAACATTGATTCATAATATGAGTTACTGGAGCAAATTTTATGATTGCTGGTTAAAAAATGAAAATGAAATCATTTCCCATTCAATGATACTGGCTTTTTAAAAAATTGAAAGATACTGAAAACTACAAAGACATTGTAAGAAGAACAGTACCCTTGTTTCCACCATCCGTAGTCGACCATGATTGACACTTTAGCATCTCACACCCCAGGCTTTTTTTGTTTACATCTTTATAGAGAAAAAAATGAATACATTGTTTAAAATTATTTGGCTACATTCTTAATAACATTTCAGATACAGGTACAGCTCGTTTTATTGCGCTTCGCTTTATTGCACTTGTGCTTCACAGGTGTTGCGTTTTTTTACAAGTTGAAGGCATAACCCTCCAGCAAAAGGAGTATGACTTGCTTTATTGTGGTACTACTTGGTTTATTACTGTGGTGTGGAACCGAACCCGCAATATCTCTGGCATATGCCTGTATAGCTAACGTCTTCCTCTGGCTCCATTCCCCTACCCTGAAATCCATCCATTTCTCCAGAATGAATAGTCGTTAGGAATGTGGGATCGATCTTAACAGCTTTGCTTTTATTTGTTATTTTTAGTTTGGACTGGGCTGCCTGAATTTGAATCTTGACTGTTACTTTCTATCTGTAGGCCTTTGAGAAGATCCTTAAACTCCATGCCTCAGTTTCCCCATCTGTAGAATAGAATAATAGTACCTGTGGCAGCAGGATGTTGTGAGGAATAAATGAATGACTCCAAAATCCAATAGTCTTGGTACACAGAGAGCACTTGGAATACAGCCATTGTAGGTAAACAAAATATATGATGCTGTTTTATGTGTTTTGATTTAGATAAATAATGTACTGCCATATACATTTTTCTGCAACTTCATTTTTCCCATTTTATTTTTGAAATCTAGCCATGGTGATATACATAGATCTAATTTCTTTTAACTATGGTTATGATATTTCATCTGTATTTATTCACTCCACTATTGGTGGTCATTGAAGTTTTTACTATTTTTTTATATTACACATAACAGCACAGTGAACATTCTAGAGCAGTGTCTTTGTGAATTATGTAGAATTATTTCTCTTGGTTCATATCTAGAAATGAAATTGCTGGATGTATACATTTCCATTTAGTGCCGTATTGCCATCCAAAGTCACCTCTCCCTTTAATGAAGTACTCATAATTACCTCCTAATTTATGGTTCTCCCTCCAGTCTCACCTGGTGACTGTCTTCAACACTGTAACCAGGATATTTATAATTCAGAAGTATAACACTGTGACTCCTATATTTTAAATGTCTCACTGGTTTATCATTACTTAGAGAAATGTACACATCCTTATTATGCCATAGAAAGTCTTGCCTTTAATCTTGCTTAACTCTCTTAATGGGTTACCATTCCTTCACAGTCACCTGCATTTCAGGTCCACTAGGTATTGCTGGGAAAGGAAAAAGGGAGATTGATTCCGGGGAGGCTTCAACAAATGACTTCTCGGCCTATTGGTAGAAAGAAGTTTTAACAGTGGATCTTTTCTGTAGCCAAGTTAATTTACTTAGGTAACAATGTCCTATATGTTGAAAAAAGGGCATCTGTCAGTTTTATGCTCATAAGATTGTTTAATATTATTCGGTAAAGTTTTTTTTAGTTGTCTTAATTCTACCTTTTTTCCAAAGATACTTTGTATTGGTTGCAATCGATATGGTTTCTTAGACACTTTTTAGATTTCATATTCAGATCATTTGGTGCTCTTTTTGGATCCTCCTGAACCAGACCAGCAGTAATTTAAAGAGTTCTGAAATTCACAGTGCCCAGATGAATTTAGTAGCATTTAAAGGCAACGATGTATATATGCTTAGAAAGCTGCTGGAACAGAGCTGGTGAAGATGGTAATTTGTTGGCAACTTACTATATTTATATTATCATGTATTGTTTTTCTAGTATATTCACATATTTTATATATCAAATATATACTGTTGACCTTGGTTTAAGGTAATACAGGACAGGAAATGCTCATTCTAATTACATACTATTTTTATAAATAATCTATTTCCAAACCTACCCCCCACCCCGACCATAGTTGCAGTAGGAGGTAAAATTTAACTGGTTTGAGTTAACCTAGTTTTTTTTTCTGCAGCCATTGTTTTAAGGGTACTAAGCAAAAAAGTCAAATGACCAATAGACTGGAGTAGTAACCTTGGTGCCCTGATAATGGATTTGATTACTCAGGGCTTGTTTATATTGGTTTAAGAACCTCTGAATTGAACCTTCTTTTCACTTGTTTCCAGATTATTTCTATCTAAAAAAAAAAGAAAATCACCACTTATTCCATAGATTTAAAGGTTTATTTTATGAGCATATACTAAGAACTTTTACTCTTAGAACAGATGTTCATTAGTATAAGATAAAATAGATATTTACGTATGTGAAAGTTTGAGGGAATAATTTGTCTCCATTAATATATTAGTAGCTTCTAATTTTTAACTCTGAAGGTGGCCCACTTAAATAACATTGAAAATATGTATGTTTTTGCAATAGTATTTAAAAATAAAAATATATGTATTTTTTATATGTCATTTATGTTTTTAAATCTATTTGATTCTAAACCCACAAGAGTAACTTTGCTTTTTGCTTCGAGCTCAGGCTAAAAGAATGTTGGGTTAGGATGATAGCAGGGCTTTGCATACCATTCTAAACTTTATAACAGCGGTTTGCAACATTTTATCTCTACATCATTCATATGTTCAAAACAGTGTGGGTGTGCGTTCAAGGTTTTTAAATTAGGAGGCAATTACCAGATACAGTTTGTGTTTTAGAACAATAAGTGACATAGCATAAATAAATTGGTTTGTTGCAGCTGGGAGAGTCTAGAATAAGGAAGACCAGTTCAAGAGCTTTTATCTCAGGCTGAGAATGAAAGCCTGAACTACTGTAGTGGGAGTTAGAACAGAAAGTTTGAAGATAGAGGTTTCTAAGTTAAGGAACATGGTGATATATCGCATTAAAAGAACAGAAGGTAAGAGGCCTGATTTTCCTAAGTCACAACTTTATCAGGACACAATTCTACTGACCTTTTCACTGTCAGAGTCTCTTTACTCCTGTCACGCTTGGATATTAGTGAGTCAAAGCAGTTGTGACATTTAATATTAAAATTAAAGAATCCTTTGTACACAGAAGGTTTTTTTTTTAGGATTATTAGGAAATCTGATGAACTTTTTGAGTAGGCAGTAAAAGGCAATGTGTTCTTAGATCTTTATCTCTGAATATATCGTTGTATGCTTTTCCTTTTTTGGAAATCTTTTAAGAACCCTGACATATCTGTGGGAAAGTTGAAATACAGAAATCATTATTCATACAGTTCGATGTAATATAATTAACATGTTTATTTCCTTTGAAGTAAAAGGTAGTTTCATAAAAATGTAGAGGTACCTACCTGTTTGTCCCACATATTTGACATTAACTGCCTGACAACACATCCATAAGCCAGTGACATCTACTACTTTGTGTTATGGTACAATATCTCCAGTTACTTTAGGTCATAGATTTCGTGAAATTCTTAAAAACAGTACCATCAATTTAATTTAAAAAAATGCCATAGAAGAATGTATTAGTCTGTTGCTGCATAACAAACGACTCCCAAATTTAGCATCTTAAAGCCACAAATGTTTATGATATCAAAATTTCTGAGAATCAGGAGTTTGCGAGCAGCTTAGCTGAGTAGTTCTGGCACAAGATCTCTCCAAAGGGCTGTTAACGAAAGGCTTGATTGGAGCTGGAGGATCTGACCCCAAGGCGCCTCACTCACATGACTGTTGGCAAAAGCCCTCAGCCCCTCACTGTCTTTCCGGGGAAGCCATATTTCCTTGCTCTCTGCCCATCTCCACGGGGTTTCCTGAAGGTGTTAATGATATGGCAGGTGGCTTTCCCCAGTGCAGGTGATCCAAGGAAGAGGCTGACAAGGAAGCCCTAGTGCTCTATGACCCAATCTGAGAAGTCACACACTGTCACTTCTGCCACATTCTGTTTGCTAGAAGTGCATCATAATGACCAGCCATCACTCAAGGAGAAAAATAAGTGCTGCTTTTTGATGAAAGGAGTTGCAAAGAATTTTAAAACCATAAATGATGTATTTGGAAATTAGACAATAAGGTTTGAAAGTAGATGCTAACTAATCTGGTCTGCTTTTAAGGAGAATCTTCTCCAAATCAGTCATTTCTCTAATATGCAGGCCACATTAAACTTGTAGATAAGGTTCAGTGATATGATACTTCTCTTCTAATTGGACTATTAGTAGATATTTATAATAAACGAACAAAACCTAAGCCTTCAGAGTTTGCTTCTCATTCAAGAGAGGAAAACAATATTATTTACTTGTAAATGACCTAGTTTTCATTTATTTCTGAAGTAATTGAATTTCCTAGTGTAAATGGGGCACTGGTAGGAGAAAAGAGTATGAATTACTGTATTTTGCAATGTATAATGAGCACCCACCGTTTTGTCCGCATTGTACATGGGATTGTGTAATTATTGCACCCATAGATAATGCGCATCCTCATTTTTTCCTCAAAAATTTGGGCAAAAAAGGTGCGCATCATACACGGCAAAATATAATAATAAGCATGAGTAATTGATAGCTATTATATAATTCTTGTATTCATTATATTATTACTAATACTTGTTTTTTTTCTACTTTGAGTAAGAATAGTGACTTAGGTCTTAAAATAGTGTTGCTTTTGTAAAGTAAGATTTAAGATTTATTTCTGTTTACTCCTGTGGAGATTTTTTAAAAGCCATGTTATAACATCTCCTGTTTTTCTTTCTGGGCTTTCATTTTGGTCATAAAGTCTATATGAGCTCCTTTCTTGGAGAAGCAGGGACCCAAGCGCCTGGGCTATAGGAACATAATTTGAATTGTTGATGAGGGGGCGGCGGGGGGGACCATTTTAGGTTGATAGGTTTGAAAGAGAGAAGGGGAACCCTTAAGAAATTCCCTGAGCCAGAAAGAATGTCTGCAGTCACTTTAAAAGAGCCTACAGCTTCTAATGGTTGCCGTTAACACATTCTGTTATTGTTTGTGATGTGTTTATTTGTATTCTTTGCAAACTTTTTTAAGTGCTATACAGAAATAATACTTGGGATATGATTTTTGTTAAGTGTGACGTTAAGATAGCATACAGAGCTTACATTTATAGTTCTTTAACAAATGTAATTATTTCTCTAATAAGAGCGTGTTTTCTCTTCAACTCTGCCTACCTGATGGCTGTTTTTCTCATTTCTTTTTTAGGTTTAAAGCATCGGATGGAATCAATTTGCATTAGAAAATTGGACCAACACAAAGACTTGATATTGTGGAATGATGAGCAAACAAGCAATGTCATCTGACGAACAAAAAAGACTCTTGTGTTATAATGGGGAAGTCCTTGTTTTTCAACTGTCTAAAGGAAATTTTGCAGATAAAGAGCCTGCAGAAATACCAGTATTACATGTCAGAAGAATGGTATTTGACAGAGAAACAAATGCATTTGTTCAGAAGTCCACTGGATTCTTTAGCATAAAAGAAGAAAACTCTTATCACTTAAAAATCCTCTGTTGCAACTGTGTGTCAGATTTCAGAACTGAAATGAACCTCCCTTATGTTATGATGCAGTGCAATGAAAAGAATAATATTTTCAAATATTTTCTACTATTTCTTCACAGTACCAATAAATTTGAAAAGTGTTTGAGTTTTAGACTAGGCTATGAGTTGAAGGATGGCATAAGAGTCTTTAATGGTCCTTTAATTTTATGGGAACATGTCAAAACATTCTTCTATATCTCTTCCCAAACTGGCAAAGTTATTACTGTGTCTTTTAACTTTTCCTCTATTGAGTGGGCAGGAGAGATTGAAAATCTAGGTATGGTTTTATTAGGACAAAAGAAATGTTACTTATCTGAGGAAGAAGGCCCCTCGGAGCCTTCAAAATCAGATTATGCAATTTGGAATACCACATTTTGTGTATACTTCCTTGAGAATGAAGAAGTAATAAGTGATACATACATTATCCCTCCTGCTTATAGCACTATAATAACTCATGTGCATGTCTGTGCAACTGAGTTTGTCAACAACCAGCTAAGAATGTCTCTCATTGCCCTTACTCGAAAGAATCAGCTGATTTCATTCCAAAATGGGACTCCTAAAAGTGTGTGCCAGCTTCCGTTTGGAGATCCTTGTGAAGTTCAACTTATGGATTCAGGTGAAGATCTCCTTTTCATTGTATCCTTTAGGTCGAGTGCTTGTGCTGTTTGGGAAAAGAACTTTCAGGTACAGTACTTATTCTCGTAATCATTCAACTGGTGCAGTTTTAGGCCTAGAGAGCGTTCCTACACTTCATAGAGTTAGTTCATCGTGGAGTCTTACCATCCAAATCAATTTTCAGTACTACACTTAAAATCATATATGTTACATTACTCTTTTTTCTTAGAGTTATCTGAATACTACCTGGGAAAGGTCTTGGCTCGCCCTGACTGGTGTGGCTCAGTGGGTTGGGCGTCCTCTAGGAAATGGAAATGCCGAAAGGTTACGACTTCGGTGCCCAGTCAGAGCTCATGCTTGGGTTGCAGGCCAGGTCCCTGGTTGGGGACGTTGTGAGAAGTAACTTATGCTTCTCTTCCTCTCTCCCTCCCTTTCCCTCTCTCTAAAAATAAATCTTTAGAAAATGTTCAGGCTTGCCATTGTGAGTCACGAAACCTTTGAGTTTGGAAATACATAAATGTATAACTACAGTTATTACATATTTACTTGTCTTTTAATGTGACTAATTTTTATTAATATAATTGGATGTGTATTTATACTTAAGTGATTTGACTTCATAAGCCTTCTTAGAATCCTCAAATAAGTTCAACTTTTTAAAAGCTGGTAACTATCTCTTTAAACTTAAATTGGAATCTAGAGGAATTCCTTGAAATGTGGTTGTTGTCCTAAGGGGCAGATCATTGTTCTCCAGAGATGAATGATGCTTAGAGAATTTTATGATGTTCTATTTTGAAACTCAGAGTTGTCCTTAGCAAACATTCACATTTTATCTACATTTACAGTAGTTGCACCTTTTAATGTAAGGTTTGGAAATTGCTTTAAAATAAAATACTCTCTGGTATCAAGTGTTCAATAACAGGTAAAAAGGTGCAGAAAATAAATAGGAGATTGGAGGGTTATAACTTTGTGTCTGCATCGATACTATTTCTCCGACCCTGATTTTTTTGGTAACATACATCCTCCTGGCTTTAGATATATATCAGCTCATTCAGTTGTGTGATGTGTTTACAGTTCAAGATAAATAATGATTACTTGTCAGCAATATCTCTTCCAATAGTGATTTTCTTTAGTACATTATACAACTTTTAAGGTTTTTGTGCTACTTTGGGAAAAGCACAGTGCCTTATTTTGTGCGCCCTAGCCATTTTATTAGAAGCTCAATTAAAATTTCTATTGTATTATCACAACATGGAATATTGATAAATATTTTAGAAAATTTGAGAGGCATTCATTATGTGAATCTTTATTTTTGTGTATGTGGAAATATCAGGTTGAAAGTGTGTTTTATCAGGGTTTGTCTGGTAAATTGCCTTTATGTTACTAGGAATTGTGTAACTGAGACAGGATAGTGATGAGCCAGGGAAATTCCTTGGTGAGACAATAGGGAAACTGAGACTGAGAGCTGAACACAATAGCCGAGCAATTGACAGCCAGGTGCAGAAGGTCACTAGGGCGGAAGGAAGACCACCAATCCCTGGCTGGGGCAAAACTGGAAAAACAAGAACGCCCCCAAGGTAACCTCTGCTTCCTGGAGATTACTGTAGGCTTCAGTTGTATTTCAGCTGCAGGCATTTTCAACTTGTTACACTTAAACTCTCAAAAGGAAAGTTATTTGAAACTATCTTGTTTTATTTTGAAAGCAATCTTTTAAAAGCACATTTTACTTTTATTTGAAGGTTATTTGGATAATATTTTCTGTCTTTTTCTACTTTTCCTTTTAAGAAATGGCGGGGAGCATATTGTATAGCCCATAATTCTCATTGGGGTCAGGGTAATGGAAAGAACAGTTAACCTGGTTGAATCCTAATTGAGCCATTTAGAGTGTTACCTTAAGGAAAGTATTTCATTTTTGTGAACCAGTTTCTCATCTTTAGGAAATTGAAATCACCCTGCCTCTGAGAGGGGATGATTGAGTAAAATGACATTGTAAATTGTCTAGCACAGTGCTTGGCACAGAGGAGAAGCTCAGTAAGGGGCAGGTAGCTATGATAGGCTAGGGCCAGAGTTGTCATCAATGACTTGGCCCTGTCTAAGGTCCCTAATTCACCCGGATAAGGAAAAAACAATTTCCTGATGCCTTGTTAATTCAGTGGAATCTTGTCCTAACTCCCTTGTAGTGGATCCCGTGCTTAGACACTGTAGAGCTCTGCAAACCTACTACCCAGAGCTGGAGACTGTTAGGCCCTGTGAACCTACCTGTAACTGTTGGCCTCTCTGCCTTGAAATTGTGTTCTAGGGTTATTTACAATGGACCACCATCCTTTCCACAGGTTACCAGTACTTAGCTGAGCCCCTTTTGCCATCTGCCTTAGGCTACCTTCCCAGGGGGTCTGATAATTCTAAATTGTTTACCAGTGCCCTGTATTGAAAGCTCTGGAGTTAGTCCCCGATATCAGGCAAGTTAAGTGCGTCTAAATTGCCTAGGTAACCTTGGAGTTACGCCTCTCCCACTCTATCTTGATATATTTATACCAACCTACTTTTAAAAATTGGATATAGCTTAGGGTAAAATATTTGATTACTTTAAAAGCAGGAATAAATGCTAAGAATCTACAAATAAAGGAGGAGGATAGTTAAGGGAAGTAATTGCATGTGAGCAATTACACTTAGTTTAGCAGTTAAGACAAAGCAAATGCATCAGGTTTTACAATTGAATGGAATGTATAGTATCAAGGAAAAATATTTTCTAACACTGAGTGCTGAGAGGAATTTACTGTTGTGATACAATGTAAGAGGTTTTTAGTAATAAAATAAATACATTATTGAAAAATACAATGGTGTCTGTGGTGGCGGTTTTCCCCCAAATGGGTGAAGACAACAGTTTGGTCTTCTGTTGGGTTGGCTATGGTCTTATATTATCCATCCATCCTTTTGGTATTCCATTCCATAAAAGAATTAAGGCAGCTTACAAAGATAGACTAAATACAAACAAGCATAAATTAGAAAAAATAATAAAATGAAGGTTAGCGTGTTCTCAAATCAGCCATCCTAAGGTATAACTTTTATCCAATGACGAATTGAGACAGAGAACTGAGTCTAGAAAAACACACGAGTAGCTTTTCTCTTAGGCTTTTTCTCCTGGGTAGAAATTAATCTCTGCGAGTTTTGGGGAGAACTCTGTATAGCAGGCATTTCAAAATTGAGATCATTGTTAAATATACCTGAAATAGGTATTGGTGTGTTGTACATGGAAAGAGGTTGTAGAAGTGTGTGTCTGATGCTGTAGCTGCTAGCCACATGTGGTTATTCAACATTTCAAATGTACCTAGTCTGGATTAGAATGTTCTAGAATGTCAAATACACACCAAGATGTCAAAGATTTAGTAAAAAAATGAAAGTACCTCAATTTTTATTATCAATGGAAATGATAGTGTTTTGGATGTGCTGGATTAAATAACATAATAAAGTTACTTTTACCTTCTTCTTTTCACTGCTACTAGAGAATTTTATTGGCTATTGGAAAATTTAAGTTATGTATATGCCTTGCATTTTGGGTGACACTAGTGTAGACCTATGGATTGCAGATGTGTATGTGTATGTATGAGTGCACAGCTCTACGGTGTTTGCATGCTGAGCACATTCTTATAACTAATGTTATTATATGTATAGTCTTATATTGTTATTATACTCCATGAATTCGGGGAGAGGTGGGAGGAAGAGAGGACATAGGTTTACAGGTAAGGTCCTTCCCTGCATAAGTGAAAGATCACTGCTTAAACGGGAAGGGTTGATACTTGGTTATATAAATTGAAGAGCCTTATTTATATTCTGGCTCTAATGCAAGCTGCCCTCCTGTACTATCTATTCTAGATGATGTATCTGGGATTCTGAGGGAGAGTTACAGCTTTTCTGTCTGAGGGAGAAGGGGTATCGGATCCCCATGGTGTTAGTTTTCCAGGGGACCAATCTGGAGGCTTTTAGCTTTATGGACCTTTAAGAAGTTGTCTTCTCTTTTAAACTTGGGGTCTCACATTCTGGTATAAACTGGTCAAATCATTCCTTTAGGCTGGTATAGTTCTAGGTGGCCCACTATTACAAGCCCTCCTTTTTTGTGGCTCTGATAATGGTTATGTTCTCCCCAACCAGAGTTTAGGGTATTAAGTTCATCTTGACTTTTTTTAAATTTTAAATTAAATTTACTGTGACATTGGCTAACGAAATGATACAGGTTTCAAGTATACAATTCTATAATATTATCACCGAGCTGTATGTTGATTATGTGTTTACTACCCAAAGTCAAATCTTTTGTCATCTTTACTCTTTAAAGGTTATTCTATTTTGAGAGCTCTCGAAGTATGTGCTGGTCGGTACCAGCTGAATTCTTTGGGTGGGACAGTAGTAGGTTTACAGTTATGAGTATGTGAAACACAGAGTTTATTCTGTTAACCTACCTTTCCCCCACCCTGTGAATCTCCAGCAAGGCTTATGGGAGTGAGGGTCATTCTTAAATTAGCCATGTTAGAGAAAGAACCTTTGCTAGACTTTCTCATGAGAAATGTCAGAATTTCCAAAATAGTCCTGAAAAGTATTAGATTTTAAAAATTATAATAAAATTTTATACAGAAATCAGCAATGTTGTTGTACGTGCACAAACGTTGATAAAAATATTAAATTTAAGTACTTTGATATTTATAAAGTTACAACTCCTTATGTTTTCTGATCCCTCTATATTTATTTTAGTTTTTCATGTTTATACTACCATTTTTATTACTTGTTTATAAGATTGATGACAATAAATGCAACGAAAGGATATAGTTGATTTCACATCTGATTTTTTTTTCCTTTTCTATTCTTCCTTTACCACTCTTTCAGGTTGCTGCTCAGTGGGAAGAAATTAGCTCAGTACTTGTAGATGACTTTATCGGAACTGGAAGAGAACAAGTACTGCTACTGTTTAAGGACTCCTTAAATTCAAATTGCCTGAGTTCATTTATAATAACAGATCTTCACAATATAAACATTTCAGTAAGTTCTATATGCTTTTTATACATTACTTTAAGGACCATTTTAGAAAATTTGAAGATTTTAAACCTTCTGACCCACTATTTAAATGTTTGTGATTTCATATTAAAACATTTTGAACTTTAAAAGTACATGGATTTAATCTTTTAAAAATACAGTCATATGCCACTTAACGATGCGGATATGTTCTGAGAAATGTGTCGTTAGGCGATTTGTCATTGTGCAAACATCATAGGGTACACCTACACAAACCTCGATGCTATAGTTTAGTTCATACCTGGGCTACATGGTATATGGCCTTTTGCTCCTAGACAACCAATCTGTACAGTATGTTACTATACTGAATATTGTAGGCAATTGTATCATAACAGTAAGTATTTGTGTATTTAAACATATCAAAACAGAAAAGGCACAGTAAAAGATTAAAAAAGGCACCGCTGTACAGGGCACTTAGCGCGAATGGCACTTGGCAGGACTGGAAGTTTCTCTGGGTGAGTCAGTGAGTGAGGGGTTAGTGAATGTGAAGGCCTAGGACGTTACTGTAGATGTTATAGAAACTGTACACTTAGGCTGCACTAAATTTATAAAACATCATTAGATTAAGTCAAGCACAAGATGAAATGATGCAATCAAGAGATGTGGTCAACATGATATGTGAGGCTGCTGCTGGTGTATGTAATATGGCGTACTGTGTTACAACAAACTTTTTTTTACACATAGAAAGTACACTATAAAATAATGACAAAAAGTCTAATGTAGTAAATACATAAACCAGTGACAGTTGCTTATTGTCATTGTCAAGTGTTATGTACTGACCAATTGTATGCTCTATACAATATTCCTGTGCCTATATTTTTATACGATAGGCAACACGGTAGGTTTGTTTTACAGCAACATTACCACAAACACGTGAGTAAGGCACTGCCTTACAGTCTTATGATGGGTCCAGTGTCACTAGGTGATGGGAAATTTTCAGGTCCATTATAATCTTATAGGATCACAGTTGTATATGTGGTCCGTTGTTTACCAAAATGTCATGTAACACATGACTGTATATATTGAATGTCCTTTCAACAAATAACATACGAATTGACTAAGCTTTTCAATATAGTATATCTGGTGGTCACTCAAGTGACAAAAATACTGTAAATTAACTTGTTTCTTGAAAATCCCTTTATATCAATAAACATGGTAATGATGGATTAATTAAGGAATAAAATGAAGTGAAACTGCTTTATTAAAACAAGCAACAACACTGCCTGGTGTGGCTCAGTGGATTGAGTGGCGGCCTGCGGACCAAAGGGTCGTCGGTTCAATTCCCAGGTCAGGGGACAAGCCTGGGTTGTGGGCCAGGTCCCCAGTAGGGGGCCCGCGAGATGCAATCCATCAATGTTTCTCTCCCTCTCTTTCCCTCTCCTTTCCCTTCTCTTTACAAATAAATAAAATCTTTGAAAAAAACCAAGTGACAGTTCATATCTTAAGATGTGGGGCATAAGGGAAATAATATCCCTGAAATTTCAGATGGATATAAAATGCCTCTGAGCCTCAACTTTTTCATTAGTAAAATGAGGGTGATTCTTATTTTCTCTACTTACATGATTTTAGGATTTTATAAAAATCTAGTAAGCTGATACTTTTTTGCAGTAGTATATAGATGTTACATGGGTAGTAATGGTAATAATTGTAATTTTTCCTAGTTATAAGAAAATGGGGGAATATATATTTTATCTTTTACATGATCATGTCTAACATAGAAAACTGCCCTTTGACTGGATAAACTTTAATTGTATATTAATATTATGAATTTTCAATGTATTTCAAAATTTCAGTTTCAGTGTATTTTTTTTTATCTATTAGAGCGAAGCATTGGATTCCAATGAAGATGACTTATTTGAAGACAAACCAGATAATTGTTATTTGGTGATTCCGGCTCTGGAAAGAAGAGTGCAGGTTAGTGTCTGTTTGCTTTTTGCTTTTGCTGTTTTGGATTAGTGCTATTTTGAATGAAAAAAGAACATTGAAAGGTCGATCCTTAAAGTATAAGCAACTCAGTGATTGGGAATAAATGGTATTTGAAGGATCTTTACCTTTTCCATACCTTTGTAAAAATTGTTATGACATCACTTATAATTGTAGCATCTAAAAATGATACCTTTTTATAATAAGATTGTGTAAATTTAATGTCTCATAAGGTAAAATATTAGAAACTCACTTTTAAAAACACATTCTTTCTGGTCTGCAAGATCAGAATACATGGTATCTCTTTTTAAGGGGCAGCAAATATGATGAATCATAACACGTTCCAAACGTGAACAGTTCACCCTCAAGTTTTCCATATGAAGCTCTATAAAAAAGAGTTTTTCCTATTGCCTCAAGGTAATCCACATTTCCTGTAAAATACTCAGACTATTCAAAGAAATATTAAAAAGAAATAATTACCTTTGATTCTGCTATGAGATTTAATCAATTTTTATACTTCAGCATATATATTCTTGCAGATTTTTCAAATGAATATATGCAAATATGCATGGAAATATGATTATAAGATGTTCCTTTTGAACCTGCCTTTTCCATTTGTAAAAATGTTGAAATATACAGAGAAGGTCAAAGGATAGTATAGTGATTATCTCTGTAGTCCCCGCATGGATTCAACTACTGTTACCTTTGGAGAAATCATATTTGCCTCATCTGTTAGTGCATCTGTACATGTGTGTACATGTTTTTGCAGAATCATCGGAAAGATGCTAATATTACAATACTTTTATGTATTTTAGTAGGAATCTCCTAAAGTTAAGGACATTCTCCTATGTAACCAAAATACCATTATTGCACTTAGAAAATTAATAAAAATCCCTTCACCTTATTTACTATTCAGTCCATATTCAGATGTTTTTAACCGCCACAAAAATGTTTTCTATTACATTTTTCAGAATCCAATCAACGTTCACACATATATTCAACTATTATGTTTCTCATTGGTCTTTTTATTTAGGATAATGTCCCCTCCCTTATTTTTAAATGACACTAATGAGGACAGGCTAATTGTTCCTCCTTTTGGATTTGTCTCTTTTTTTATATCATTTAATTTTTTCCTCTACTCCTGGCAAACTTGTCTGTCAAAAGTTGGATAGTAAATATTTATACTTTACAGACCCTTTTATAATTATTTGGAACTATTTTCATTATTAAAGTGAATACTCTAAATGCTTACTGAACTCATACTAGATATGAATGTGAACAATAGATAAATGAAATATCATGGCGAACATAAAACCATAAAGGAAAAGACTGATTACACTGAAAACTTTTATACTCTGAACAAAGTAAAATAAATAAAAAGACAAGTTATATAAAAAATTATAACACATGACAGAGGCTTAATTTTCTTAATATAAATATGCATTCGAAATACCATTGACGATGTAAAGTGGTCCAACCCCTTCAGAGGGAGACTTGTTCTAGCTACTCAAATACGAATTGCACATATCTCTTTATTCTTGTAGTTTCACTTCTAGAAATCTCTTCTGAAGTCTTACTTGCATGTGTAAGCAATGATGATTTTATATGAACATTTATGTAGTGTTTATAGAAAACAATATTAGAGTAAAAATATCCATAATTAGGAGTATAGTAAATAAATGAGTATATACCTGAACAACAGGATACTATGGACCTATCAAAAAGAATATGGGAGGTCTTTACACTGATTTAGAAATGATGCCAAAATAATATAATTTATGAAAGCATGACTTTCAGAAATTCCACTTCTGATAATATGTCACCCAACTAATTTGGACCAACTTTCTTGATAATGCAACTTAAAATGATAACTGAAATATGTTTTAAAACCTTCAAAGAGCTGAAAATATAAGAATCAATGATCCAGCCAAACTCAAAAGCAGGGATGTCCAACCTATGGCCTGCATGTAGCCCAGGGTAGCTGTGAATGCAGCCCAACACTTTCAGAGATTAACAAGTCTACCCCCTCCCCCATTTTCTAGGCGAGGTAATAAGTGGAGAGGCAGAAACACGTAATCATAAATTTACTTAAAACATGATGAGATTTTTTTGTGATTACGGGTCCAATGTGTTTAATGTGTGGCCCAAGACTGCCTTTCTTCCATTGCGGCACAGAGATGCCAAAGGTTGGACCCACTAGCTAAAGGGTGGGACCCAGAGAGCTCAGCAGAACACTATCTGCTCTGGCCCCAAGGGCGTGTGCATTGTGTGCATTGAATGGAAAGCAGTAGCGCCCTAGGCAGAGGGCGGAAACAAACAGAAAAGCCTCTTTCCACACTCAAAAGTATTTTAGGCCTCCTATCAATCTCACAAGTAGTTAATCCAAGACTTTGAGCTGCCACGGAATAACTAAGTACAGAAAGATAAGGGGTTACTCATGTAAAATAACCAAATAGCATTTCTATAAACGAAAGATACATTGAAATAAAGAAAAAAACCTCAACAGATAAGTTGAGCAGTTGACTCAAACACATGCAGAACTAATTAGCAATTCTTTAGAAGGAAGCACAGAGGAAAAGAAGGAAAATATGAAAGAAACATAAAGGGAAGTCAGGGGCATATGCAGGTAGGGAATATGAGATAGTTGGGGTTGAAAACATTCCAAGCGTTGGAAGGCCTTTCAGAGATTAACAAGTCTACCCCCTCCCCCATTTTCTAGGCGAGGTAATAAGTGGAGAGGCAGAAAGATTAAGCCACTGGTGGAGCGTGAACTAGAGTCCATTTTACTGTTCTTTCCCTCGTGAAATTTGCTTTCCAAGTGGTGGTTGGAGGGGGCTTGGGGAGACCCGTGTCGTTGTACCAGAGTGTTCTCAGCAGCCCTGTGTGTGATATTGTGCAATGGGGTGCGACCCAGCCATCCGTCAACGCGATGGGATACCAGGGAGCTAGGAAAGGCGGGAAGTGCAGCTACTAGGGACGAATGGATGACTCTAAACCGAATTATTCCATTTATCAATAGTTCTGAAGCAAAACACACAAAACAGTAAGAATATTCTTTACAAATCCATACAAATGAGGGTAAAATTATGAAGACAAACCAGAAACTTATCTCCAAGGCCGAGGTGGTATTGCCTCCAGTGGAGAAGGAGGTTCGTGGCTGGGGTGGGCCGCTTCTGACCTGAGTGTGTGGTTGTTACATGGGTGCTGACTTCATAATTTGTCTGTAAATGTTTCTTTGTATTATGCACTCTGCTGCATGCTTGAGAGAGATGACAGTAAAAAGAACAAAAAGCTAGGTTCTCTAGCATGCGTGCTCCTGTATTTGTTTTTGGGTGGGTCTTTGTTTGCTGGGAGAAGAAAGAAAGCACTCCTTAATACATACTTGGAAAAATTCTGGAAAGGTGAGCAATCTGTTGGCTGCACAAATGGGATTAACGGTCTAGGAAGGGAAGGCAAAATGTACTTTTATGTTATTTAAATTTCTTACCATGTGCTTAATTTCATAGTTTTATAACAAAACTTGATAACTGAATATCTGAGGGGTCCAGTGATTCGCTGTTTAATCCTGCAATAAGGGGCATGTTGAGGGGAGTAGGGAAGACAAAACAGAATCATTTCTGAGGGGGGCCCTTATTTTCAGTCTGCCCGAATGTTCCTCTCTTCACTCCCTCCCCCTCCAGCAGTCTCAGATTTGCTCCACCTCTGAGGGGCGCGTCTCCCTTCCTAAATTACTAATTAGCAAATGAATGATGGAGTGTGAATGATGCGGAGCCCTTGGAACTTGGTCAACAGATGAAATTTCAAAATATCAGCTAGACACTTTATATTTGTTCAGTGAGGTAAAATATGATTCAGTCTTCCTTCACTCTCCAACTTCTATTCATTGATAAAGAGACAAAGAATTTACCTGCCTTAAAATGTAATTTAAAAGAAAGAAATTGAAGAACAGGATGCATTGTTTTTCCAATCTAGAAAAACATTTATATTAAAAACCGGATTAATACTTCAAAAGTCTCAGATATCCATATGAAATGAAACAGGTTGTATCAGCTCAATGATGTGACTCCTTTTAAATTTTCAGTAGCAAAATGTACTTCATGAATGTTTGATCCTTCATGCTGAAATCTATTTATCTGGTGCAATAAAAGGAATGGATTTCTCTATGTCCAGTTCAGAGCCAGTTTTTTCCCACAGTAATTAAGAGTCAATCTTAGCACTGAGTTTGTTAGCAGAAAAATAAATGTGTGACAGTTTATGTGTTATCTTTAACATTTTTTATAAAGGTTATATGAACAGAGGATTTCAAATAGTATCAAATTAAAAATGACTCTATTCATAATGATGCCTTTTGCTTTTTGAAGCAGAAATTACGTCAGCAAGAAAAACAGTTTCCTTGTGGGGGTAAAAGTATTGGTAGGCTTTGTTTTTTATACATATTGATTGGACTTAAGCATATTGATTGATCACATAACTCAATAGTGAAAGGAATGCTAACATATTCATGTTCTCTCATTTTGATATGTAAATTTGATTGCAGTTACTTGCTGCATTATTGTCCTTTGTAATTAGACCTTTAAAATTTACAAATAAAATACTTTTGCTCTAAGAAGTATTCTTTGCTTTTCTATAGAAAAATGAATTAATAGGCAGATTTGGAGAGAGCACTTTCTGAATTAATGGTATGTCAGGTTTCATTTGAAATTATGTCTCCAGCAATGATTTTTTTTTTTTCTACTTTACAGGTTGGTTTGGCTTCTATTCCAGAAATACAGCAGCATCTTTTGCTTAAGGAAAAAATTGTTTTAAAATCTTACAAAGCTTTAATGAACCTGATTCAAGGAAAAGAAGATAGTACATCAATTGCTGAAGAGGTAAAATTAATCATGAGACCATTTTATCATTTTATGAATTGAAACCTATTGAAGAGTTATTTAAATTGGAAAATGGAATATATTAGAAATGCTCAATGGATCAAGAAGCAAAGTGGCAGGGATTATTAATGGTGGGCTTTTATGGCATTGAAAAATATGTGACTAAGAAGCCAATATTTTACCAATTTACAAATTATTCTTATTTGGTACGATATTAAAATTTCAGCTATCAGGAACCTTGGGAAATAAGTCCTTTTGTTTAAAAAGATTTAACTAAACTTTTTTATATGTATAGTCTGAATAAAAATTACTTCTAAGTGAATTATATATTTCCTGACTTCTTAAACAATTACTGAATACTATTTAACCTTGTATTGATGGTAACACAACTTCATCATTAGTGTAACAGTTGTTCTTTTAGGCTCTTGCATGGTTCATTTTCAAGGATGTTTATTTCTCTAGTTAATGTCCCTAAATTGCTCTGATTTTTAGCCCTTATGTCTGCTTTTTATAATTTTACTCTCGTTTTCCTTGTGGTTGACCATCATAAGAACCTCTTCAAGTACCTTGCAGTTATTTATGCCTGTACGGTAATGTAGAAAGTTAGCAAAAACTGCTTTGAGTTCATAAAAGCAGTTTTTATGCACGTTAGTTCCATGCAGAGAAGGAGAGTATAGCAAAATTACAAATAAATCAAGAAATGCTGGACATAGAGGAACTTGACGGTGCATTTTATTCCCTCCAGTCACTTTAGTGCTTTGCTCTGACCTTCTTCAAAGTTGCCCATTCTTATAATGGGCTTGTGCCTTGTGTCTATATTTCAGTCCTGGTAAAATGAGGATTTGGGTCCAAAATATGATTCTGTTAGTATAAGAAACATAACAGAAACACATGATGTTACATTTCTGTATTACTCCTAATTTCCTGAGAAACCTCATGAAAGTCATTGTTAAGTCTCTGCCCTGGCCCAGTGGCTCAGTTGGTTGGAGTGTGGTCCTGTGCACTGGAATGTGGTAGGTTCAATTCCAAATTCCGCAAGGCACATACCCAGGTTCTGGGTTCGCCCTCTGGTGGGGAGGCAACCAATTGCTTTCTCTCTCCTCCCCTCCTTCCCTCTCCCTCCCTCCCTCCCCTTCTTCTCCCTCTCTCTCTAAAACCAATAAATAATAAAATATATCAAGTGAGGATTAACAAAACAGCCTCCCCATTTCCCTTCCTTACCGCACCCAAACGATTTTGCCAGTATTAGAAAAGGGGAAGAAATGTTTAGAAATTAATGCATTGAAACCACTGTGTGCGAGACAGCATTTTGGCCCTTTACATGGTTAATTTGAAAAGCAATCCTAACAGGTAGTAAATATTTCTGCAGGTTGTGGATGAATGGCCTGCTTCATGTCTCACACTTACTAGCGGAAGTGTCAGATTCCTAGGAACATGTTTAGTTCACTCTAGTGCAAGTGCTCCTAGCGTTCTTCGGTAGTTCACACATAGAGGGGTAATATGCAGGGTCCAGCAGAAGCAAGCCCTGTTTGAGTGAGGTTGGTAGGGTAATAATATGGGTGTCATAATTTATAGTTTTCATTTAAACATTTCACCTCAAATGTCATTGGTGTGCTTGAGTGTGATATTGTCATGTTACAGAATGACCATGCTTATGATTTTGTCATAAAAAAGGGGTGTTATTTGTGCCGGACCCTGTAGTAGATTAAGGGTTAACATAGAGCGTGGGCTCTGGAACCACTCTGCTTTGGTTCAAATGCCAGCTGTACCCCTTGCCAGCTGCGTGACCTAGGGCGAGACCCTTAACTTCCCTGAACCTCATTTTTTTAAAATCTGGAAAAGACCTAGAGTTTTAGGGTTGTTGTGAAGGTTAAACAAATTAACACACAGATGGCATTTAGAACAGTGCCTGACATATAGGAAGCATTCATTAAGTGTTATATATTATTATTATTATTATTATTATTACTATTCCTACTCTTCTTCCTCTCCCTACTATTTCTGTTGATATTATAAATCCATATATTTGTGGACGTGAATGAGTGTGACTTGGACTTTAAGAATAAAATTTTCGCAATAATCGATCAGCAGCCCAAAGATAGTTTAATCAGTTTAATTCATATAAAAGTTTACAGTTAAAGGTTTTGTGTAGGTCACCGAGAAGGTAAAGGTTGGATTGCTCTCAGCGTGCCTGGGCTACATATTGTCAGATTATTTTCAAAATGGACTCCAGGCCTACATTCCTGCTGTGTTTCCAATCATGCCGTGCTTCTTGATCTGAGTAAATAGTTAATTAGATATGTTTCACAAGTCTTATTTCAGTGAATTATATATAGTCTATAATATAATACATTATAGGTAATTTATTTTAAAATGTAAGCTTTAAGGCCTGGCCAAAGGCTTATACACACTTTTTTTTTTTTTTTTTTTTAGTTTTGCTACATTTGATAGTATTTTTTGTAATCAGTTATTTAAACATGTTTTTCTATAAGGAGTGCCTTGTTACTCTTTGTGGTGAAGAAGAAAATCCTGTCCATACTTGTGATGAAAAGTTATCAGACAATTCTCAATGTTCAGAACAGCTAGTAGAGAAGATATGGTATCGTGTAATAGATGATAGCTTGGTTGTTGGAGTGAAAACCACATCTTCTTTGTCACTGTAAGTAAATTCTAACATGATACTCTTATCTTGATTCTCTAGAACAGCACAGTCCAGCAGAGATATAGTGTAAGCCATATATGTAATTTGCAGTGTTCTAGTATCCTTAAAAAAATGTAAATAGAAACAGGTGAGATTAATTTTAATAATATCATATCGCAAAAATCATTATTGCTGAGCGATAGACAATATTCTGTATTAAAAAGCATATTTTATTCAAGTCATTTAGGGAAGTATAAAATGCAATTTTTACTTTAGAACTATAAGTATTTGCATTCTAAATTATTACCAAAATGAAGTCTTTTTAAAAATGAGTAGTTTTTTTCTTGTTTTAAAGAACGGAGGGAAAATCTACTTCGAAAACAAAATTCAGAGTATAAAATAAATTACCATTTCCTTCTGTTACTTCCTAAAGTCCAGCATATTTACAATGTTTTTGCCTTCCTATTTTAAGAGAAGTGTATTACAGGATTTTTTAAAAAGCAGTTGGCTTTTATGCTTAATTTTCTGATACATTTTACCCTTGAAATGATGTTTCCTAGGAAAGGAGAGAATACATATTTACTGTTGTTTGTATGTCATTTAATCATCTATTTGATTTTAAAGAATGAACTTCTAGACTAAACCAAATTCTGGATGTTTTACAGGTCCCTGAACCAGGTGTCTTTATCATTGCTAATGGATGAACCCCGTTGCTCCAGCTTTCGGCTTATTAAGTGTCAAAACAGGGTGATCAAGTTGAGTAGACACTGTATTCCAGCACCATGCTCAATGCCATATGAACTAGGATCAGAGGCAAAAAGGATCAAGGTGACTGGTGATAGTGAGGAAGAGGAGGAGGAGAGCTTTGTTTGCGGACAACCATCTGAGAAAGAGTGTGTACAGATTGTTACTGCTGTAACATCTCTTTCGCCGCTGTTAGCATTCAGTCGGTTTTGTTGCGCTGTGTTGCTACAAGTTAGGGAGAGAGGAAATGGTAACTGTTCTGAACATCGTTATATTCCGTGTGGCCGACTTTCTTTCAGCCTAGAAGATTTCTCAAGTGGGAGGTACCTAGTGACATTTCCAAAGAAACCTATAGGTAATTTTTGTTGGTGCTTTTTAATCACATACCTAATTGAATCATAAAATTGTAAGAACTGTCTTTATTTGATAATAGTTTAATGACAGAGCTTGTGACATATTTTTCTTGCAGAACACATGGAAGATCTCTACGCGCTTCTTGCAACATTGCACAAAACTTGTTTCCAAATCACATCAGCCAACTATGCTCTGACTTCAATGAAGGCATGGCTCTTAAAACACATGGAATGTGAAGTAATCAAAGAATTTCCAGAAATTTGCTTTTGTAAAGGGCCAGAAGGCTTGTATGGGACGCTCTTCCACTGGAAACAAAGGACACCATTTGAAGGGATTTTAATAGTCTATTCCAGGTAATGCACATCAAATTGGAATTGGTCGACCAAAGTTAGTGTGTGGTGAATGTGTAGTCCAGCGGAGATCCCTGTGGTGGAGGCCATTGCGGGACATGTCTGGGTCGTTGCCTTAGTATAGCATGAATGGAAAATTTAAAAACTGAAGCTGTTTTAATTTTATGTTTGTTTTTGGCTGTTTTTATTTTTGGTTGCTTACGGCCTAATAATTATTTTAAGGTTTTCTATTACCTCTCCTCCACAATGGAAATTTTAAAATATAATATTGATCTTATTACTCAGTGAAAAAAAAATCAGGATGCAACCTTATGACTATTAACTGACTTGGTGTAGGATATGTATTTTTGATTGCTACAGTCTGAATCTGTCAACGATTGCATGCATTACTGATTCTATTTATTGCTCGAGTATTTATACATAAATATTAATCGGTTACTATAATATGTTGTACACAACCACTTTGTGCTGTCCTGAGTTTTATAATATTGTGTTTGTTTGTTTTTATTCCAGGAATCAAACAGCTTTGTTACAATGCCTTCATAATCTTACCAGAATTCTCCCTATAAACTGTTTCCTCAAAAATCTAAAATCAGGAAGTGAGGATTTCCTAAGAAGTCATTTGGCATTAACTTTGGAGAAGGAATTGGTTATCCTTTGTTCCCTTTCTTCTGCCTTGGTTAAGGCTGACGACAACTTGGTGCAAAGGTGTGAACCAAGTAAAGAAAAGAGTAGTGCTGTTCTTTCTGCTTTGTCAGACAGACAAGAAAGCATCCACCCCTACAGAGAAGAACTTCAGAGAGAAAGGCAAACGTTGGCAATGGACCTAAAAGTGAGTGGTGCCCTTTATAGAGAAATGACTGTGAAATTATCTGAGGTTCAGCTGAAATCAGACCTTGCTGCGCAGAAACTGAGTGGTTTATAATTATAATCTCATTGTGATTATATTTTAAAATATTTTTTCCTTGCCAGAATGTTTGGTTCCACTTGTTTTTATTTTACATTCTATGCCTCCCTTATAAGAATAAAACATGAGGCTTTGTGTAGAATCTTAGTTTCGATGGTGCATGGAGTAGCATGCCTTAGAACCGCAGTTCCCAGCTGGGCTCTTTTGCCTCCCTCTGACCTTCTCCCCCATTCTCCCCTCCCACCGCCACCGCTCCACCCAGAGTTACCATTGGAGACATTTTTTGATCGCCAGAAGGAGTGGGGAGGGTGAGGCAGGAGTGCTACTCACATTTGGTGGGTAGAGGCCAGGAATGCTGCTAAATATCCTAGTCTGCACAGATGAGCCCTCTAGAAAGAGTGATCTAGCCCAAAATGCTGAGGTTGAGAAATCTGCCTTAGAGTTACCACGTGAGGGAAGGCAGAAGTGACCTAACAGTATTTTGGTCTGCATCTTTAAAAAAATCTAAAGATTTTATTGTATTCTGCTTAGTGAATCTAGCTTACAAAGATTAACTTCAAACAGATAAACCAGGTTGTCAGGATTCGCAACTTTCGGTAAAGACCAAGCTTCTGTGGAAATTTAAATGGCGGGCTGTCTAGGCGAGACCATAGAAAGGAAAGTGTTTGGAATCATTTACATTTTATTAGAAAATTTCTGTGAAACTGTTAAAGTCTCTAGGAATGTGAAAATATTAGGACATTTCTCTGAAAAGCATCTCTCTTTCAAAAGGTTAAGTGTACCTCGCAGGCCACTATTTTTCAAAAATTGAAAATGCCTTTAAGCCATCTGAAATTCTAACTCTAGACAAAGCCAAATTATAATACTCTAACTGAAATAATTTAAAGAATATGCTGTTCCTCGCAGACCGAAAAATTTTAAAAGAAGTGAAAATTCACTTCAGTGGGGAAGTGATTTTTGAGGGGTTCAGTGAGACATTTCAAAGAGGCAAAAATTCAGGCTATTTCCTTTTTTTTTGGAAAAAAAGGATTGTGGAATAATGAAAGAATGTTTGGAGAGGAAAAAAAGATTCAAAAGGATATGGACAAGGAGGAATGTTTCTGATCCTTTTTGCTCTAAAGTCTTCAGGCAAGATGGAGGAAATAAAGATGATTATAGAAAGTGGCATTTTGTGCTTGCAGCTATGAAATGCTAATTCCCCCTTACCCCCGTGCCTTAAAAGTGCTTGTACCTAATGATCTGATGATGTAAAAGGGTTTTAGAGATTGCAGGTTATTTTCTTGTCTCCGTTTTTATTATTGTTCATATCATGTGCTACTTCTTTTTTTAGTAATCATTGCAAATTGAGACAGCTCTGTTTCTATGAAGTGTCAATAGAAAATATTTCAGACCCTTTAGAATAATGAAATAATTATTCCATTAATAATTTTTATGAAAATGGAATGGAAAATTTTAAATGGAATAGTTTTAGGATTTATTGTGAAAATCTGGGAACAAGATGTATAAACAGATACATTAAAACTGTCCATGTCATGTTCTAAAAGAACAACCAAGTATAAAAGAGCGGAATTCAGTTGGAAGATGGTGGTTGTCAAAAAACTAAATAGAATTTAATTGTAATCATTTTTCCATAGGAAACTTAGGATAATAAAAATAGCATTTGCTTATATTTTATTTATAAAAGCAACCTAAAGTTATTTATGTGGATTACACCAAATAACCTCTTTACAGGTACGTATGGTACTTCAGTATATTTTCCACTTCTTGCGAAGCAGAAAAGCCAAAATCAGAGGCGTTGGCAGCCTTGCTGCTCTCTCTGACCCTGTTGACTCTGCCTCTGAGCGTATTCCTCTAGCCGCAGCCCTGGGGGATCTGATGCTCCCCTCGCAACCACAGGCCTCCCCCACCCTCAGCTGCTTGTGAATTGAGATTGTTTGTTTGTTTTTTTTTTTTTTGGAACAGAGTGCTCCGTAGTTGTCAGACACAAAACTTTCTGTTGGCCCCATGATTCCTCAACTAAGGAATGTGTGCAAGCTTAGGTGTGACATTTTTTTTGGTGACCAGGTTGGGGGCAGGGGGAGAACATGTAACATTTATTGACTGTCAAGTCTATGCAAAGCAATAAGCTCGAAGCACATATGCACACATATACGTTCATATCCATATCCATACACGTATATGGTTTAATCCTTCACGGCAGACCATTAAGAGTAATTATCAGTATTCAATATGAAAAAGAATGTTCAACCAAATTAAGCGGGTGCACATAACCAACTTGAACCTGTGCCCTTGTTCCAAATTTTTTAACATCAGCAGACCCTTTAAGAATTCTAATAATGTACAGATGAATCTTTTCTTTTCTTGATAAAGCTTTGTTTCCCTTCTTTCTTCCCTTCCTTTCTTCCTTCCTCTTTTTTTGCCTAAAAGTTTGGACAGTATTAGGTATTGAAAAGTATCCCTTTTTTGTTCCTTGTACTCAAACTTATAAAAAAAAATCCATGTCCATTCTAATGGAATGAGTGAAAGCTCTTGGTTAAACCCATCTAGAGAACTTTAGGCTTTTGCTGCTAAAGACAGTATGGTGCAATGGAGAAAGTACTGATCCATAAACAGTATACTTAATTGAATCCTTCAAGGGTTCCCTTTTCCCTTTTAGAGCTTCCTTGATCTGTCACTTGAATTGCTTAGTGCCTTACCCAAATAGCCCTATCCTAGTGTGTTTGAGTATTTTCACAATGCTAATTAATGGTGATCTGGCCACTTTATAGGACCTTATTTCGATAATCCTGTTGGTTTTTGATTCAGGAGGGTAGCAGGTACCATTCAGGAAGTGAATGTTCATAAGGCCAAAATATCAGACAGCTTCTGTGCTTGCACTGTTCAGATTTTTCTTGTGCTATGCTTGTGAGGAGCTACGCTGGACACAGTACCTGTGTGCATAACTGTAGCTCAACATAATGGTCCTGAGTCCAGCTAGGAAATTTCCTCAGTGTCTTTAACTTCATCTTTAATTGTCAATTTCCCCACAGCAGCAGTCCCTTACCCTGAAAGTATAAGTAGCATTATGGGCTACCATTACTAATCACCTGAAGCGGTCAGCACTAGATACCCAGTCAGTCTGGGGTGGGAGGGAAGTGTGATGCACTCCATGGATTGCCTGTTGCATATCGATTCCTTCCTTTTCTTGTACCAGAACTCTCATTTTTTTCAAGAAAATTCCTTTCCCCCAGTTCATGTGATTGGGGAAGTGGACTCCATTCCTAGTTCCAGAAGTTAATCCTGACTCGTCTACACCAGTTAGTGCAAGACAATTCCCTGGCAACTGTGACTGGTTTGGGATGGGCATAGGGCCCACATCGGGTCTAGTTGGGCTGAGGAGAAGAACTTGTTTCTTTGGTGAGGAAGAGGCTCTCTTCCTGGCCAGCTAGAAGCAGGTGGCCCTAATTTAAAGACTTGAGAGTTACTTTATAATCCCAGGAAATTAGGCATTCAAATGAATCTTACACTATAGACTACGTAATTGTTTTACTGAGCCACTGGTCAAACCTAAACTCACCCTTCCCTGGGACTGCCTATTACTTCAGAAAAAAACAACTTGTAACACGAATCAGGGTTTCTATCACTTGCAGGTGAAGTCATTTCTCACTGCTAGAAATGGGAAAAAGAATCCCCGAGAATGGAGCTGACCATTGTACACATGGAGTCCCAGGCAGGAACAGTCTGCCACAGAGACAGGACACTGGTACCTGCTAGACGAAGGGCAGGAAGGCGTCACCGGCCCTCTGACCCCACATATGTATTTCAGGCCTTTCCTTGGCTCACTAGGCTTCTCTCTGGGTTTTTTGTTTTGTTTTGTTTTGTTTTAGCTTACAACTCAAATTAGCTGATATAGTATTTTATATGAGATCAGTTTTTGGTTATTTTTTTAGTTTTTAAAAAACCTTCTTTTCTCTCTCAGTATTACACCAGGCTGCTTGTTCAATTATGCCTTCTTCGTTGGGTTAGAGCTGTATGTCAGATAATTTAACCTATTTCTTCATATTTCCTGTGTTAGAATATAAAATTATGAATGTCAGGACCATATCTTTTGTGTTTCTTAGATAGGAGAAGAATTCCGATGTGCAATTCTCTCCTGACAACTCCTCTCATATCCTCAGCTATATCCTGTCTAGTAGGAAGAGAAATCTTTATCAATTTTGATTGTTCTATGAGTCTTTGTGCTAGGAAAAGCTGATTCAATATTATGGGACGGTTTTGGAAATAGACTAGTATTCCTGTATCACAACAGATGCACAGCATTACTAATTCAGAGCTTGTAGCCTTTTCAAAGGTAACAAATATGTGTTAGAACAAGAGGGGTGTGGGTTTTTAACATATACTAGGGAAGCAAACAATAACCCTTTCTAACTTCATTCGAATCTCATTATTAAACAAAAAAAACAAGATGATTATGGGAACTTTTAGTGTAGTGTTTGTAAGCCTGATGAGATGTTTTGAGGTTTAAAATGAGTAAGTAATTTCAGTATGTCAAGTGCAATAATAAAATCCTCTTAAATGTTAACCGAACAGTAGATGAATATGCTCTACCAACATTTGAGAGTCTTAACATTTGGGAGTGGGGGTGGGAGGTAGCATTTGAAGGGAGCCAGGACCAAATGTGCTCCTGATAGTCTGCAAGATCTTTAGAGAAAGTGAACGTGCAGTACGTTCATTGGGCCCAAGCAGGGGAGGTGCGGGTTGGTGTACAGACTGGTCTGGAAGGGGAAAGAATTAGCCTGGAAGTATAAATAGTAGGAAAAATAATTATCCTCAGAAAGAGTTGAAGAAAATTGTAATCCACGGTTGCATATGAGTTTTTGTATAGTGTGGCATGCTGAGAAATAGCAATAGCTCAAAATTCTTTTTTTTTTAAATTAATTTATTTTTTCAAATACATTTGTCTCTGCCTACCCCCCACCACTTTCTCTTGCCCCCTCCCTCCCTCTCAAAATTCTTGATAATTGTGTGCCAGATGTTGA